GGCTCGGTTTAAGGAGTCCCCTCCTACGGGCGGCGCGGGGAGGGGGTTTTAGCCAAAGCCCCTGCACCCCTCCACCGAGAGCACCAGGATGCGCAAAGCCGCCCCACGCCGACGCTTTTCATCTCCTAAGTGCTTTGCAAACATTAACTAATTAATCCTAATTAACTCATTACCTAATTAGAACCGAACGGGCCCTCCCATTTGCCGGGAGAAGGGAAAACTCGCGCACCTTCGTTCCCCCGAACACCCCAAAACCTCCGCCGGCTTCACGCCAGCGTCGGCGAGGACCTCGGCGCCCGGCCCTCCCGATCGCCGCCAACCCGGGGCGAAAAACCTGCTTTATGGGTTCGCTAACCCCAAGAAACCGGGAACGAGGATTTCCACCTCTCCGCCCCCAAGCAGCACCGGGAACGCCGGCATCGCCGATGCCCGTCGCGCCCACCCGTCGCCGGGGAACCCGCTCCGGGGCAGGCGGCGGATGCTTTCACCACTTTTTTATGGAAAACGAGGGATTTCTTGCGAAGGAAACGAGCGAGGCGGTCGGGACGGAGGGGTTTCGGAGAGGCATTTCCCAAAGGATTTCCTTCCCGGTGTCCCAAAGACGGGGGACAAAGGCTTCGGGGACGCCGAAAAAGCCGGCCGGTGAGCCCCCCCGGCACCCCTCGGGGACCACGTTTTCCCACCGGGACATCCCAGGCCGCCCTCCATAAACATCTCCCCTTCTCCACCGAGTCAACCTTGGGGGGGGGAAAGGGGGGTGGGGGTGTTTACACAGCGCCGGCGCCGTGCCGGACGGATCCTGCTTCGCGGCGATGCCGAAACGGGAAGGAGCCCGCCGGTCCCGGGGCTCGATCCCGAAAGGGGAGGGCGCCCGCCGTTCCCGGGGCTTTTCCCGGGGCACAGGTGTAGCGGCCCGGCAGCTTTGCCGAAACCCCGGCGGCGATTTACGGCGGCGATGTACCTCCGCTCCTGCCTTCCCCCCCCTTTTAACACGGCCGGGTCGGTCCGGGGGGCAAAACCAGCCTCGGAACCGTGTTTTTTCGGAAGGCGAGTGCTTATTTCCTCCATTTTGCAACCCAGGACGGAGACGGGGACTGGGGGGTTTTTTTTTGGGTTTGTTTTTTTTTTTTTTTGGTTAATCCCTGCATACCAGCCGCCTCCCCAGGAAAGGGGCCCCTCTCCCACACCCAAGATTAAATTCACCCAACGCAGGGTCGGGGGGGGAAAAAAGAAAAAATAATAAAAAAAAAAACCCCGCCCGGAGCGTCGCTTATCTCAGCCAAGTCTCCACGAGGGCGCTCCCGGGAGACGTTCACCCGCCCCCGGTGGATCCCCCAAGCTCAGGGGCGACCCACACCGTGTCCTCCCGCCGCAGATTTGGGGTCGGACAACCCCCCCTCCCCCCCGAAGTCAAGAATCACCTAAAATGGTGCAGAGGTTTAAAAACACCGGTTTCATAATCACGGCCCCAAAAACTAAAAAAATAAACAAAAAATCCCAGCAGCCGAAATCCCCGGTGCTGCGGGAGGAAGCGAAAGCACCGATGAAAATAAACCCAACGAGGGGGAAGTTGGAGGCATCGGGGATGGACGCCGGTGGCTTAAGGGACATCAGGGAAGCTCTGAGATGTTCCAGTCCCTCCTGGTGTCCCGTTTTGGGGCGACACTGGCGTTGAGCGGGAACTGCTAGGTGTCAACATCTGAAAATGAGATAAAAAAGGGGAGTTTTCGAGCTGCTGGCTCAGGTTCTCGGTTGAGTCATGGATAGGTGATGGATCTGGGGACCTTCCAAGGTGGGGAAATGTTGGGTGATGGGGGGATCCCAGGCCAGCTGGCTGGTG